TTCAACTCTACAAATACATTGTCTCAGCCATTAAGAATATTGTCTTTTAAAAACTTGAGGGAAGATGCCTAATTTTCCTGGGCACTTAGTGGACTGCAGGAAAACTTCACACTAGTCCCCAGCTTGAAAGAAAAATTAATGGCTACAGCTAGGAATTTCTGACTTTTTCTGCACACACCTGTGCCTTTAGGAAAAATTCAGCTGCGTCCTGGGTTTTACACCATATTCAAGTTCTGCTGGTGTTATGTACCAGCAGAGTGCAGCAGAACCAAACCTGAAACAGAGGCGGAACAGGCAGCATTCCTCCTCTGCTGCCTCATCACTGCTCCCTGTCACCACTTCTGAGGCAGCCTGGCCATGAGGGTCTGCGACAATGAGACCAGACCCTAAAAAATAGGGATGGGCTTTGGGAGGGCAGCATCTGAAATGAGTTCTTGTTTTAGAAGAGCTGCTCCTTCAGCAAATAGACCCATTTCTGGTTTAAAACATGAACAAGGAGTCCCAGCTTGAAAGATTATCGGCCTGTAGAGTAGCACAGCACTCAATTATGCCACTTCACACCAATTGACAATGGGGCCGAATAATAAGTTAAATCCCATTCAAAAAGTGAAACAGAGCACTGTTAGCTCTAAAGAAAAAAAAAAAAAATCTCCTAAATTTATAGCCAGACAGAGAACAGATTGGTCAGCACTAACATTCAGCTCTAAAAGGCCAGGAACAGCCATGATTAATTACTTAGTGTTTCCCTCTTCTCCTCCCTGTGCCTGTAGTAGAATTCAGCTTTCTCTGGTGGGAGATACCATGTCTCCTATTATCAAAAAAAAAAAAAAAAAAAAAAAGAAGGAAAAAAAGGAAAAGGTTACAATGCAACATTACGTTCTCTTTAGAATCACTAGAGCTAGTATATTTCAGAGGAATATGTACACAGAATGTGTTTTCCTTTGAAAAACCTAAACTGCTAAATAGTCTTTTACAAGTCCCACAAAATTATGTACAAGGAAGCATTTTCCTTGATTCCAAGTGACTTTGGATTAGACCTGCTGAAATAATCAAAATCAGAAGGTGACACTCATCACCCTTCACATCAGGGTCCTAATGCCCCTGATGTGTTCCTGGTGATCTTTAGCAGGAATTAAAAGAGGATTGTAGGTGAGCATGAGATGATGAGGAAATAGCAAGTGAACAAGATGAAAGATGCAAGAGCAAAGCTAAATTTCCTTCAAAAATAGCAGGGCAAGTGGTTCAAACACTTCCTCAAGGCCACTCAGATCTACTTTTTGGTCTTGCAATGTCAGCCTTGGGCCATCACAAAACAGGAAAGAACAATTTTGAACCTATGCAGTTGACTTGTCTTTGTGCTTGGTGGAAAGTCCTAGAAAATTTAGTGGGATGTGTGTATTGAAAATTATAATCAGATAAGAGGCAGATTTTGCTCGTGGGAGTTTGTGTGTCTAAGCATTTGAGGAGGGAGTAACAAAGGGGTGACAGACAAGAACTAGGAATATAACTTGTGTGTTTTGGAGAAAGTGCTTGTTACAATACAATGCAGCAAGCTGAATCTGCAAGGTCAGTAGGCAAGAAAGACAGTTTATTGGAACTAAGGAAAAACATACTGTTGGAGGCTCAAAAATAATAAGCTAAAAAAAACCCCAAAACTATTCCTTGACAACTTACAGCCTTGAAAAACTATATCCAGCATTCCCAGGAGTAGATAGACGAGCCCTATGCCCGCTCCAAAGCCCAGCTTCCTAGAGGTAATCACGATTTGCCTCAGAAGTGCATCTGCAGCAGCTCTCCAGCAACAAATTATTCTTGTCTGCCTTAGACTCTAAAGCTCTGAAATGCTTGAACAAGTCTGTTGTTACAGATTGCCTGGCATTGGCCCAGCCCAAAGGTGGCTGCATTGGTAGCAGGGCATGAAACTCCACAGACAGAAAAATGTGCTCTGCCCAATGAATGCTGCAAAGTCAGCCTGGTCTGTTGTGGTTTTACCCAGCTTAGAACCCTGGAAATCTCTGAAATGAGTGTGTGTGTGTGGGTATAAATATGTACAGATGAAAGTACCCTCCTTATGTTATAAAACATTATGGTAGAGATTTGCAAGAGAAAGAGTAACTGTGTGGCAACAAGCCGAGGTAAAGGGAAAACAGTTTCTATTATTTGATCCTGAGAGAAGAAATCATTAGCAAACTGCACCCTACATCATGCCATATACTTTCTATTTTTCCCTGAGGGTTGCTACAAATGCAGCAGCTGTAGCCCTGTGACACATAGACACACAAATCGCTGAAGTTGTTCCCACTGACAGGAAAAGTGTTTTGTTTCGTTACCTTGCGCAGTTAAAGCAGTGCAAGCACTAGGCAGAGACCGTGCTTTATTTGCCTTAGCACTTTAATCTTGCCATTTGTTGCTCTACCTAAAGCATAGGGAGAAAAATGAAAAGCTTTCGCTTGACCTGAAAAGCATCTCCCACCTCCAGTGCAATAAATCTGGGAAGTGGAGCTGCATCTCATTAGATGTATTTTGAGGGCTCATGCTGGCTGGATTCTGCTGTTCTTTCTTTCACTGCCCCCATGAGTTCAATGGACACACAGCCTGGTCCCGAGAGCTCGCGGAAATGCCACTCTCATTTGCTAGTTAGCTGTGGAAAGTTAAGCTGCATTTATTTGGGGGTTGCTATCTAGCTGCATTTGGTACTGTAACATGCTGAGTTTCTGCATCTCCTCTTGACTTCAGAGGCAGCCTCAAGGTTTTGCTTTTGTCAATCAGGCCTGCCTGCATCTTTGGTTTGGTCACCCCTGTTATCTTTTTGGCACCCATCCTAGGAACCAAACTCTTCAGCTGTCACCTCCTGGCTGACCCGTTCTGTGTGATGCAGCAGTAATGGAAAACCACTGCTGCTTCTTCCTAGACTGGCTTCTTTGCAGGGATGTGCAGGTGGCTGGGGGCCTAGGAGAGAGTCCCTTCTCCAGCCATTCCCACCAGAGCACTCATCTCCCAGATGGCTCCATCACTCCCCTTGCCACCCGCAGGGGTGGCTGCCCCATCCTCGTGCTGATCAGTGGGGGAGCTGCTCCATGCCCAGAGCTAGGACGAGGTGGGGGTGTGGGACAGGCATGTCCTTGCAGATGCTGCGGCCCGGGCTGGAAGCAAACGGGTCTGGGTTAAGGGGCTGCTCTGACACCCCCGGGCAGCGCCGCAGACCAGCCCCCCATTTCCCCCCTCCCCGCTCTTCGGCTGGGAACGAAACCAGCAGCAATTATTCAAGCCAAGCACGTAAATCTGGCAGATCCCGCGGCTCCGGTTTGACGCAGCTACGCAGCGCAGTGTCTGGACACGCAGCCCAATCCCCCTTTCTCCCCTTGTTTATTCGCCCCGCAGGAAAAAAAACCCAGCGAAGTTACCAACTTGGGACCGCACCGAGGCGTTTGGGCGGTTGGGGTGCCGGGAAGCGGAAAGGACGGGCGGAGGGAACACCGCCGTCGCCGGGGGAGCCGGGGCCAGCAGCCGTGACGGGGCAGCCCGCGTTACATAAGGCGTCGGCTCCGCACCGCTCCGCAGCGCGGGGACGGGGCGGGGGGGCCCCTGTCCCCCGTGTCACGGCACAGCGGCGCCGGAGCCGCGGCACGCAGCGCCCGAGGCGCCCGCGGGCAGCCGCGCCGGGGCTGCGGGAACCCCGGGGGCTGCCCGTGCTCCCCGCGGGCAGGGCCCGGCCCGGGGGACCCCGCGGGCCGGCCGTTATGTAACCCCCGCCTTCCCTGCACACACGCCTCTCCGGGGAGACGGGCCGAAGTGCCAAACGCCGATTGATGTTATTAGCCTTTTGCTGTTGTTGTTTGTTTGTTTTTTAAATTTTAAATTTTCTTTCTCCCTCTTCTCACTCTGAGCTACAGAACCACAACTGCGCTTGCCCGCGGTCCTGTCCTGGAATGAGGGAGCACCGCCGCTCGCCAGCCGGGAATCGCTCCCCAGCCCCGTGTCCGGGGGGGCAGCCCCGGGGCGGGGGGCGCGGAGCCGCAGGGCGCTGCAGCACGGCCGCCTCCGCTGCCGCGGTGCTGAACATGCACAGACACACAGACACAGGCACGGACAGAGACACAGCCACAGCCACAGCCACAGCCCGCACTCCCCGGTCCCGGCGCGGGCCCCGCGCTGTCCGCGGTGCTGAGCACACACATGGACACACGGACAGACACAGACAGACACACGTCCCCTCTCCGTCCCGCTCGGGCCCGGCGCTGTCTGCCGTGCTGAGCGCACACACGGACACACGGACAGACACGGACAGACACACGGACAGACACGGACAGACACAGGGACAGACGCAGGCGGACACAGTCCCCTCCCCGTGGCGCTCGGGCCCGCGCTGTCCGCGGTGCTGATGCTCCGCCGCAGCCCGGCGCGCTGCCGGCGCTGCAGTGCCCCGGGCGGCACAGCCCGGGCCGGCCCAGCAGCGCAGAGTGCCCGCACACCTCCTCCCCGCTCGGAGCTGGGAATGGCGCTGGTTCCCCTTCTCCTCCGACACTGTCTTCTCCGCCGGCCTCCTGCCTCCTGCACGGCCGAGAGGCACAGCCCGGCTGCCTCCCCTGGCTCCAGCCGGCGATGAGGCTGGCGGCGAAATCACCCGTTTCTCCTTGCCTTTCTCTGTGCCCGCAGCAGCCCAGAGGCCGGAGACAAAAAGCCGAACGGGTCTCACTTTAAATATACCCTTATTCTCCATTTCATTCTCGTCAATACCGCCCCCTCCCCTGCTGAGCCGGTGCCCGCGGTGGTGTCCCACCTTTACCTGGGCTGGCGGAGCGGCGGGGTCGGTGGGTCGGTGCCGCAGCTGGATGGGAGGCAAGGACGGGAGGCTGCTGACCTCCGCGGGTCTCCTTCTTCAATGGATCGGGAGCCGTGCCCTCATCAAAGATGGCCGTCCGCTCCTACGTCAGCAGCTTTTAATAGCCCTCCCCGGCGGGGGGAGCGGGAGGGGGCAGAGCGGGCCGGGCGGGTTTGAGTCATCGCCGCCGCACCGCTCCCGCAGCCGGGCCCGCCGCCTCCCGCAGCCGCCCCGCCGCCGCCTCCCCGGGGCCGGGGTCGGGGCAGGGGGCTGGGGGCGGCTGCGGGCGAACCGCCCGGGCAGGGGGGCAGGGGCCCTCCCGCAGCAGCGATTCCTCCGCCAAAGGGGTGGTCCGAAGAGGGTATCCCTCTGAAGTCCCCGGTACTCCATATATGGCCAATCTACGTGGGCTTCTATTTTTATGTGTGAATTCTTCCTTCTCTCCCCTCTTTTTATTTCTCAGAACATCCTGCCAGGGGTCTGGGTGTGTTAATCTGTTTATTCTCCCTCTTCTCCCTCCACTCTCCCAAGTCGGAGCAGCCAAACACGAGGAAATCCATGGTTAAGGACATGTGTTGTAACTGACCATTTGAGGGACAGGTTCAAAAATGAGAGAGAGAAATCCAAAACAAAGCCCGGACAAGTACAGGCACACACACACAGCTCAATGAGCATATCCCACTGCTACTGAGGTAGGAAACAGTAACTCAGTTCGAGAAAAGTGCCTGCCTTATTTATCATGAATTAATTAAAATATTCATTCCGAGCGTACCCAATTTGGAGCAAATGGAGCTGTCTCCAGCGTGATTTCTAATGGGGAGGAAATCCTTTCATTTCATACAAAACGGTGTATGTTTGTAAAATTTATCTCCTAATGAGGATCTTAATGAAAGTGGGGATTGCAGTCGAAGTGCGATGCTGTCTTTCATAACCTCAGTCATCCTTTCCCTTTCACCCCACAAGCCTTGGCTTTCATTTATGGAACCATCCAGACCAGGAGATGAGCAGCAATGCCTCCCTATTCCCTGTCTGAGCCTCTCCTGCGAGCAATGAGCGAGCCCTGGCTGGGTTTAACTCTCACACCGTTCATGCAGGTTTTCTGAGCAGTCTGCGGATGGCAGAGTCAAAACACCAGTTCCACATGAGGAGAATTCCATCCTCATCCTCTTTTTTGCCCCCCCTTTTGCCAAGGCGAAGAAGACCGGAAGAGAGGGAAGGCTTTGCAGCTGTATTTTGGAGCGCGTTCATCTCGTGTTATGGTTGTATGGGCGTGGGGGAGGGACCGGGAGGGGAGGGGAGGGAGGTGCGGGGGAGAAGGAGAGAGAATTGCGGGTGATTCCTCCTCCCCTGCTCTGTAGTTCCCCACAGAAAAACGTGACTGTAGATCGTGCTTTGTGAGTCTCACCCTCTTCCTACGAAAATATGTCCTTCAGTCTCTTTTGAAAGGAAGCCGTCAAAAGTTTGCTAAATATACGAGAAGGAATTCTCAGTCGAGAGGGGCTTCCTGCTGCATTAGAGTATCTAATGAGCTGTGCACACGGAAACCGCAGGGAAGGAGAGAGTCTGTCATGTTCCCGGGCTGTAAACACAGCCTGAGACTAACACTGTGCAGACACCCTCTCCAGGTGAGGGATCTGGAGCAGCAGCCTGACTGGGAAACGCATTTAGCGTCGTAAACGGCACTTTGGGAAAACAAACCTTTGCAGGCCGGCTCCCGCAGGGGTTAATCGCGCCCAGCTCTGGGTGAGGTGTGCACTGCGGATGGCAAGAGGAATCCCAGAGCGAGCCCTGCGCTGGAATCCAGGCTGCCCGTGTGCTTGCATCATGCAACTTCCTAGCACACACAGAAAGTTAAAAAGGAATTCTCAGCAGACAGCTCGGCTGATAGGTGCTTCAGAAACAAGTATGATTTTCGAGACAGCAATACTAGTACTTATTAATAATTCATATTAATGGTAGATAAGGGAAGGAAAAGAGAGATTATAAACTGTTGTTTAGGCTAAGCCACCAGCACTGCAAAATGCTGGCTGGTTTGGATTCAGCCCAATAATGCCTCGGAGAAGAATTTCAGTCCATTGGATACCAGCAGGGATGAATTTGGCTCTGTGCATCAAAAGCGAGGGATGAAAATGCAGTGAAGGCAAAATAAAATGCAGCATAACTTGGGGAAAGAGATGTGAGAAATGGTAAAAGGAAGAGAAAGCAGAGAAGGAGTGGGAGGAGGACAGGAGGTAGTTTTCCAGTGAGAAAACTGGGTTCAGTTTAAGATTCATTTTCCAGCTCTGCTGCAGCAGAAATCACGTAGTTTAATAAAACAACAAAGGGCAGAATCATTAAATAGATCACAAACGTTGCCCAATAAGCTAAGTAGGAACAACTACGTTTCATTCTGAAAAGGAGCGAGGGAAGGGCTGGAGCCTGTGCTGTTCAGGAATGTGGCTGCCTCTATCCTGGGAGATGCAGAGGGGGGCAGGCTTTTGCACCGCAGCGCAGGATTTCTGTCGCAATAAGTGCCACTAAGCAATTTTAACTGATTCTTTAGCATCTTCTAAGGATAATTTTTAAAAAATAAAGAAAAAGCACATGGGGAGTTTATTGACTCTATCTGGTACTATTTGAACAGTTGTTTCACACTGGGTACAGGGGATATGTGAGAAGAGAAGCCTATAAATGAAGTAGGAGGAGAGAGAAAACCGGAATTTGGTCTAAGAATGATTCAGCTCCTTCTTAATTATTCAGGCAAATATTCAGCAGTCTTAACAAGCAGTACCTGTGGGCACAGCCCATGAATAATGAGGCAGGAACCTGCTCTCCTGCATGAGCACAGCAGGATGTGTGCTCCCATGTTACCGGCCAGGAGCCAGAGAAGGGCAGGAGAGGCAGAGCCTGCAGCAGGGTAAGGGGAAAGAACGACCCCTGCTGTGTCCATGGTTTGAGAGCTGTGGGCAGTGGGATCTTTCTGCTGCTCACAACATCACCTTCAGCCTACAACTCTCACCCCTGTGTGCTGCAAAGCTGGGCTGTGAGGCAGCCAAGTGAGGGGAACACCAAAATGCTGACAGTGCCACCAGATCCTGGATGCTATTTCCTGGGCTCTCTTAGAGTCAGTTGTAACACAAAGACTGCCTTGAATCTCTCCACCTTTCCACCTTCCTCAGACATTTCCTTTTTTTTTTTCTTTTTCAGCAGAGAGGGAAATATCTTGTTTATCCAAATGCTGCTCATCCTGGCCTCAAGTATGTGGCTGGGAAAGAAATTGATCAAAGCATAGAGCAAACACGAGGGGGGAAATGTACCTGCTTTGGCACTGAACATTTCCCAGCCTCTCTGATTTCTGCCTGCTCCCAGGCTGAGGTGCCGAGGCATACCCCAGTCTGATTTGTGCAATAAGAACAGGCTGGATGGAGCCCTTTACGCAGAACTCCTAATTGCCTTCTGTCATTCACTGCTCTTTATGTAACTCGAATTTTGACCATCAACAGCACTTGCATCTATGTGCCCCAGGCTGCTTCTGATTAAATTTGAGGGAATGGCTGAGCCTAATTTTCCCCTGCATGTTCAGGATCTCTAGATACACAGTTAGGCTGTGGGCTTTTTTAAGGACCTGTCTGTGATTGGGTGCTCCAGTTTAGGCCAAGCCAAGATTTCTCTGAGGCTTATGTTCAAAAATAGAGAGATTTAAAATACAATTGTAACATAAATCCTAGAGATGAGTCCCCACCGATTTCCTGATCACTCTTTGAGATGTGCCGAGCCAGATCCCCAAAGGTGTTTCAGTACCTGATTCCTGACTAGTTGTTTAAAGAGCAACTAGGACTTAAATATTTGGTGACTCTGGGTTTCACTGCTGCCCCCAGCTCCCCCTGCCTTGGCTGGGTCCTTCTCTCAGCTGTGCTATAACTGTGCCATTTCCTGCAATGCCAGACTTCAGCACCTATTATCCCTTATGCAAAGGAGAAGTAGTCACAACATAGCCTCATCTCTGAGGATTATCATCTGCTATGGAGGTAGGACTGGTCTGGGGCCTCCAGAAACCTTGCCAATGGGAATTTTAGGCCCAGCTCAGCTTTCCTGAGAGGAAAGCTCTGCCCAAGAAAATCACAAAGGTTTTGGACACAGAGGAAGGAGGACTACAGCCGTTTGATCTATATTATACAGAGGAAAGAAGCCATAGAAACAGCCTTCTCTATGTTCCTATGACACAGTCAGAAGGTAAAGATTAAACTCCAATTTTTAATTTAAAACAATCCTGATTTAGTAAAATTAACTATCATTGGATTTTAATTCTCTTTCTGTGTATGTGACCTGAATTTGGGAACCATTTCAAAAACCTGCCTGAAAGCTGAATTAAGAAAGGACAGAGGTCCCACAAAGCAGGACACAGGCTTAACTGAGAGATGTGAACTGCTGTAGCCCCCTGTGTCTTTGGCCTAACTTTTCTGTGAGCACAAAACCACAGTAGCACACATCAATATATTAGCACACACCAATATATTAGCACACAATGTCATTTACTTGCACTTCTCCATATGATTTTAGCCATATACTCTGACAACGAATCTTTAAGTGAGTGCAAATTAAAGCCCTGGTTTAATTCACACTTTTAACGAGGTTATGCTTTTGGGGGCTATTGCTTGTTTACAGGAAACAAAGGCTGTTTAAAACTGGGACTTTTGGAACTGAGAAGTGCAATTCTCTTTGTGTGCAGGCTTTGAAACCAGTGGAGCTGTGATGAGTTCAACAAGCTGAATTGTGATTTTTAATAATCCACCTGGACATGAGGGAATGGCTGGTCCTTCCTTTATGGTTATAATTGCCAACTGCACAATACTTGTGTTTGTTACAGTGTTTATTGAATCGTTTTTGAATGCTATGAAGTGGCGCATGAATACTAACTTCATTCCACTTGTGCCTGATTATACTGAGCGAGGTAGATGGGATTTAAGAAGGGAAATAGAAACCTCACTAATCTTGAAGCGAAAGACAAAAATGTACAGCAAGCCAGAAGGCCCCGTTTCCCCCCAGATACTGGTTTCTATCCACGGGATAGGCAGCCCTGAGGGGGCTACAGTGGTATTGGTTCAGGGCCACCAGCTGATGGTGAAAGCCACAGCACGCGAGCACCTCCTGAAGATGCTGGCCCACGGCAGAATGAAGGCTAGAGCTGCCGGTCAGACCGTGCCAGCACGGTGACCTCCTCTGGCTGTAGCACATGTCTCTCGGCTCTTTGACACGGAGCAACACCGCCCACTCCCCTGGCGCCCTGATGTGTCTCCCCCT